ATATTAATATTGATTAATTTCATTTTAATATACTTTACAAAATCTCAAACTTTCAAGCTTTCTTTATAATCGGATTCAGAGTATGATGAAATTTTAAATATTTTTGGAGACGTTATTCATAATTTCAATATTTGTTGCATTATCATAACACTTAGCTATATAAGATTTCTATTCAATTATTAAGTAAATCACATTCTTTATTAAAAAAGTTAAATCAATGATAAAAACCAAATCAAGACAACAATGCCAAATTGTTAGATTTACAAATTTACCAGTTATAATATATACACCATTTAAATTATCTATAAGGCTCTTTTCGAAAGAAAATGTTTCATTAATTTTGGTTAATAGGAAAATCGAAATCTGATAATTCCTCCATTAAACTTTAGCATTCCTTAGCTCGTAGATAAAATTGATGTACTTAAAAGTAATTTAAATATCATAATCTCTATATTAATATTGAAAATATCAAAATCATAAATTAAATTCTTCAAAATATAATGTGATGCTGAATTCTATTTTACAAAAGTTGATACGATATTTTCTGACACATTATTTAATTTGAAATAAGTAATAGAAACACAATATTGTTTTAAAGTAAGATTATGAATTGCACATATCACATAATAATTCTATCACATAGATATGCATAGCACCAAGTAAATGCAAAATAAAATTTTGTGTTGAATACCTTCTTGAACATGGAGTTGATGTTAAACAAATTGTCCAAAGATAAAATTTCATAAAATAATTGGGTAGAAAATTATTGATTTAATATTGATGAGAAATAGGAATAAAAAAAACAGAGAATATTTTTTAAAATTCATGCTTTCTGGAACTTAAAAAATTATGAAGAATGTATGGGAATATTTGGAGAGTCAATAAAGATATTATTTAATCCTTTTTTAAAGAGCTCTCAAGCATAATATCATTCTGCCATAATAATTGTTGTCTCACCAGTCTAGCATTAAATTCAAGATAATTCCATATTTTATCTATTAAATATTCTGATGTGGGAGATATCGGTGCTTCCAACTTTCTCCAATTTAAATTCGATTGATATTAAGGTAGTTCATTAAATGAGATACGCAGATGCAACGTGGTTTAATAATGAGTTCCGGAAATGTGTCTTATGTCTCAAATGGGGGAATCTAATCAAGAGTAAAATCTATCCTCAGATGTGTTACACTATTCTCCTCATTTGTTTAAATTTAACAATAATCCAAAAGGATTTAAATTCTTAACAAATCCTTATTTTTCAAAATTTACCCTCATTAACCTAGATTTTTTCGATAGTTACTTGACAGTAAAGACTTGACTGCGTTTATCTAAAATCTTTATAATCTTTTAAGTTACATTCCCAAAAAAGGAAATTACCTCAAAATCTCCGTAAGCAAGGATCTTAGTCCAATGATTAAGTTGGCAAGTTTATACTGACTCCATTGCCTCTTCTAACCTATCTACCAATCATCAAGAGCATAATCTAAGCATAAATTTACACCAATAAGATATTAAAATAAAATATAAAACAGAGAAGAAGCTAAAAAATGCCTTGATGTAAACCATCTATAATGTATACTTTATACCATTGTTAAAATATCTTTGTTCATAAACCTTTAGAGAGACCCAAAGTGATTGCTTGTAAAAAGATTCTTGTAACTTTTACCTTTTCTGAGGTGACAGAAACTATTATTATTATTATGATGGTAGTTAAGGATGCATATTTTCCAAAGGAGCAAGACTCATTGAGAACAATTTTAGATGTTGAATTATAGCGTTATGATCAGAAAGTTTTAAGCATATTCAATATCGGTTAAGTCGAAGGAAACTACTTCGTGTTTCATTTTATAAGAAATTCTTAACTATATTTTAAGATAATAACTTCCAGAGCCGGTTTAGTGGGTTACTAGATCTAACCTTAGATTCATCAGCTCCCTTTTTGAATGGTTTCAAATTTCTAGAGTGGTTGAGAATGTTATAAAATTCTTTTGAATCAGGAGAAAGCAGCTTACATATGTTAGACTCAAGTAAAGAGTTTTGCGTTTCTATATATAGAGGGAATAGTCATTGCATATTGATGAGTTGAGGGAGAACGTTGTGACCCTTAAGTTATAATAATAATAGAAGTTTCTAAAGAACTAGGTATTTTTCTGGTGTATATTCCTATTATATCCTAGAAAGTATGTTCACGCTAGTTCATTGTGATATAATTTTGATGTGTCCAGAAGAACTTGTGTTAGGGCTTCAACCCCAGTCAATTAGTCTATAACATTTATTTCTTAGATTGAACACCATTATCACCTAAAGTTTGTTGACTAGTTAATCAAAGGTAGTATTGTGGCTTCTACTTATGATTCTGTTTGAGGAAACCTTTTTATAGTTATATTTTATTGATAAAAAATCTTATCCATTATTATGAGGGAATTTAATATTATGTTTAATTTTTTTTCTAGGCTTTTTTTGTAATTATACAATTAGAATATATATATTTAGGAACCTATTATTATGATTGAATTCCTTTCTTTTTAACACAAAAAGGTAGATTATTACTAATTTATAATTGCTAAAATCCATTCTAAAGTTCATAAGGTAACTTTGCCTAATATAAATCATAAATGTGGAGAATCAATTTACCTCTTATGATTAGACAAACTATAAGTGAAATTCACAAATCCTTACCTTTAAGAATTGAAACTAGAATCCTGAAATATAATGATTAAATTGCTTTACATTTTATCTCAAATAATCTCATTTTAATTTTAAATCTTTGAGAATATATGATTCCATTATTGTAATAGAATTATTTTTCTATATTTTTAAATCAATCCAAATGTGTTGTGAATTTTATCATTAGTTCTAGCTATCTCTTTTTCCAAACTATATAACTAAATTATATATAAATATGATTAATTTTTAATAAATTACATGTATTCAAGAATATCATTCAGAATGAAGAGTAAAATTTATTAAACGACGATAATTAGAACTGATTTAAAATTTGAATCCAGAGAATAATAAGTTTATTATTCTTTGCAAAATCAGCCACACCATTACTTCACTATAGTTGATGCTTCATTCTTAATTGACAATATTTTCTAAATAGCAGTTCACTTCAAAAAAAAGAAAAGAGTTTTCTATTGAAATCAATTTTGTCATTTTTATTTCCATAAAGCAATAGAAAATTCTTTACAATATTCATCAAAATAATATTTCCATATCATCATTCCAATTGAAAGTAAACTTTGCAAAAAATAAAAAATTAAGGGAAAAAGAATTTAATTATATAATGAAGTGCTATTTTAACAAATTGAAGAGAATATGTTTAGACAATTGATTATAAAAAAAATTAAAACATCCATTATTCTTATATTTAAATTATTAATTAATTGAAGGATAAATTTCTTGTAATTTACAAAATTCAATCTTAATTTATAAATTTGATTATAGAATTTGGATTCAGTTTTACTAAATAATCACCTAACAATCAGTATGATATCTCCTTTAGTTAGAAAAAGAGGATGATTTATGTTGTAGAAAGATGGCATTTTGGCTATTTATTTTTTGCTACAGTAATAGATAAAATTTTCTAAATTTAGTATTCAATTCAATTTTGCATTTGGACCTTCTTCAATTATTCTAAGTTATCTCTAAGTAAATCTATATAAAATGCAATTTACTGAATTTTTTTTTCTACAATATATCAATATATTTCTATTAACTTAAATCAATTAAACCTTATTTATAGATCAACAAACTAGTACAACAGAAACATTTTCGTAATTTCAAATAATATTATAACCAATAGTTTGATTTCCAAAATTAGATAATTTGTTATATAAGATAATTATATACTATACTGAATTAAGAAACTCTAATGCTATCTTATGAAACCAATCTTAATAATACATTCTGAAAATCATCTTTTGATTATACCTATACCAGAAGTATCAAATCAATTATTTTGATAATCAATAATCTAGTAATAAGAAGAATTATTTAAATTTTGTATTTCGTTTTTATCATCTTCTCCAGGAGCATTCAATTTTATGATCGATGATATAATTATTCATTATTCTAATCTGAAAACTGATTAACAAAATTAAAGTAATTCTCTATTATTTACGTTATTAAAAATATTGATTAATTTAGGGGGGGGATCCAATTTAATGATATTTATATTCGTTAAGATTATTTTTTTCAATGTAAACCTTATTCCACATAAAGAATTAAAGAAGAAGAAAGACTTAAAAACTTCGCAGTTAATCTGCTTAAAACTTTCGATGATCTTAATATTAGTATAAAATTAAGAAATTAATTAAAATTTAAATTTATTGATAAATCCCAGGTTAAATCTTAGAATAGGTATATTGAAAATAAAGCACACAACACATCTCTAAATATTTTATTTGAAATAGTTAAGCATTTTCAATTTTATATATTCATTTATTGTAATCACTATTTGAAAACCCTAAGAGAAAACATCTGATCGTTAGAAAGGAATAAAAACAACTAACAACCAAAGAAAGAAATTACAAATCAAGGCGACCCTTAATACAAGGTTTCTTAGATTTCATTTAGGAGACTTAGTTTTCCATTAAAAAATAATAATTTTGAGTTTAAAATACATATTCGATATACAAAAAGGTGTAGATTTTTCATATTATTTTGAAGTATTAAAATCTATTTAGATATTCTTGTAATAATATTTGGATTTCATTGCAGATAATGGCAGCAATTGCATTTCAACTATTTTTCATAATTGCATATATCAGTATTGGGAGCTTTATTTGGTTTTAATTCTGTAGAACAAGTGAATGTTTCAACCTTAATTTATTACTTAACGCACATCTGAGGGAGGTAGAAATAATAAATATTTTAGATTGGAAGCTATTTAAGGACCATGCATACTCGGATGATTCAGAAGTTGTTGAATGCCATTTTGATTATAAATTTTTTGGGGGAAACCAATAAATGGGGTTATTGAAAACATTTTATCTTCCTCCTCATTATAAATTGCGTCTAAAATTTCGAATGTTCTTTTCAAATCAAATTGATATTCAGATGTCGACAATTTTTAGATGATGATTATTTTAAGACCAATGTAATATGTGCCTACCAAGAGCCATGCGATATAAATTTGTTCTCATGCGATCGAATTTATGATTATTTTATCAGACATCAGAGTTCAATATATTAAGCTTAAGTTTTTCTTTTTGAATATCCACTTCCTTTAGCCAATAGCATTTTCTGAGGGATTACAGATGCTTCCCTAAGTGTTTATCAATGTCCCCCATAATTTGAAGTCTGCACTAATAGTATTACTTGTTTAAATCTGACCTTATTGAGTATTTATTTTTTGGAAGATATATCATAAATTGAAGGATGGTAGAAAAGCAATCAACCCTTTCGAGGAATCCATAAATGTGGAAGCAAATTTTAATTTCAATTAATTAGATTTTAATTTTATGGGCCTTTTTATGAATTTGATGTGGTTAAATTTAATTCAATCATTTTATAAGATCATTCATAAGTTATGATTAGATTTAAACTAATAATTCTTTAACTTCAAAGGAGGCACCCTTTGGAAATATTGGTTAACAATCAGTAGCAAAATGATAATTATCATTTTGCTCCTTAATTTATTAACAAGATGTTTATTTGTGGTTAATCTCAAGTAATAGTAGGTATCTCAGCTCAATATTAACATAATGCCCCGATTTATTAATTGAAATATCTATACCTGATCTGATAGATTGGGGTGCCTATTTTGGAATCAGAGATTTTGAGATATTGACAGATGGAAAAAAAATAACAGAATTATGTAATGATCATAACATAAATCCTTTTGATGGTTGTTTTAATTATTAATTTGATGGATTTAGTTATTGTATACAAAGTAATTTTTTGGAATGTCACTCTAATTGTTAGCACGATCTTTATGGTGAGGATTGTATTCCTTTTTGTGGTGATGGTATAATTGTTGGGTTTGAAGAGTGTGATGATTCAAATTCAATACCTTATGATGGTTGTCATTTGTGATAATTCTCCTGTCCTCTAAATTGCATATATTGTTAATTTGGTATCTGCTTAAATTGCAATTCTTTATTTTACTTAGTAAATAATAATTGCATCCCTTATTTATTAAATTATGAAAAAAAATAATAACTAATTGATCATTTACCCATACAACTTTATTGTTTGCTGGAATGTATAGAATGTGAGAACACACATTGCATAAAATGTATGACAGAGTGGAATTTGTTTAATTTTGAACGTGTTTAATGTGATGATGCTGATGCTGATGATTGTTACTTTCATGAAGCAATTTATGGAGACGGTAGAGGAGAAGATTTAGAAGAATGTGATGATGGAAATACAATTCTATTTGATGGGTGTTATGAATGTTAATACTAATGTGAATACAATTGCATTGAATTTGTAGAAGGAGTATGTTTAAAATTATCAAAATTGAAAGAGCCAATAATATTAGAGTGTGAGTTTGGATTTCGTTTGATTGATCAAAATTGGAAATCTAATTGTGGAGATTAAATTGTTGCATCTGATGAAAAATGCGATGATGATAATAACGAACCTTTTGATGGTTGATTTTAATGCTTATACTCATGATCACTTTATTGTTAGAATTGTTATGAAGGGTAGTGTTTAGCTTGTGATGTTAGATATTAATTATAGAATAATAGATGTTATGAATTATGTGGAGATGGGATTAAGTTGATTAATGAAGAGTGTGATGATGGCATATATTTTCTTTGGATGGATGTTCAGAAAAATGTTAAATTGAAGATTTATGGATATGTAGCGCATAAGATTAAGAAAGGAGTTTGTGCTTCCAATTTGACAATCCAACTCTTTAATTACAATATATAAATATGACCTTCACTAAGTAATTTATTTTAATGGCGACTTCTCAAATTATTAAATTAAGCGATAGTAACGCTAATTTGACATCAAATCTATAAATCTAAATTGTAAATGTTAATAGTCTAGATTACATAATAACTTTTGAAAGTTAAGTTGAACCAATTTTTGAAGAATTAAAAAACATCTAATATTTGTTTACTATTGAACTGCTTAATTAACTGGAAGTTGATCTAGTTTTTGAGGTTTCCTTCAACATTTCTTTAGTGAATAGTTATGATTTCGAAATTATAAACAAAGAAACTTAAGTTAAAATTACAAAATCCTATTGTCTTAAATGAATAATAGAAATAAGTTTCTTTAAAAGCAAGTAAATTCAACTTAATGATATTTATTATTTTTGGCATATCAAGCTTTATAATATTATTGTCAAATAATCCTTCGGATTGTTTTGAAGTTTTAGATACTTTGTAATATTAATCGTATCTCAGATATAAAAAAGTCTCTTTCCCAGAAAATATTTCTATTTATTTTGAATCCTCTGAACTACTTTCAATTCAACCTTTTTTAATAACATTTAATATATTAGAGTCATTTGGAAAGTTCTATTTTTACTCAATTAATGCAAGTTTTGCTGATTAATTTTTAGAGTCAATTTTGTTAGGTTGCACTTTTGACGCTTTTAACTATTTTTTTCTTATGGGTATGTAAAAATAATTTATTAGAGTTGTATTACACCAAAGTAAATAATTGATCTTAGAAGGGAACATTCTAAGTTCATAAGTCATATTGTGATGATACTTTATTAAATTCATAAATTTATCCTATTTTAGGCAAATTCTTCATTGAGTGATTAAAAATAATGGATTTTAGCAAATAGTTGGGACATCCTTTTCAAAGTTATCCTGTATCTCTCTTCTAAACCATAAAAGTCCTTAAGGACTTAACTCTCTATCTATGTATAGGGATTATGTTAACTCTTTTTGCAATCGCTATATCTTATACGATTAACACGACAAATAATAAAAAACCAAGGGATTTGAAAATATATCGACATCATGGTTTGATTGTTATAAAATAGATTTTATTCCTCTTTACTTTAATTAAAGCATAAGATAACTCAATTGTTTAATGTATCGCAATGTCATTAATAAATACTCTATATCTAGGACAAATTATTATGGCCAAACTGTTCAAAGATAATATTGATAAAATTGTAATATTCTGGTTTGAAGTGCCAATTATTATTTATACATTATCAAGAGTCTCTTTTCATCTTGTCTTTGATAAACATCTTACAAATAATTAATAAATCCTGATAGGGTTTGCTCAGCTAATGACATTAAGTTTTGGATTACTATCGCCATTAATTAAATATGTTTACATTATTATAGAAAAGGTCAAAAGAGCAATAATAATGAAGTGTAAGAAATACCTTGCTTCAAAATAATAGAAAAGAGCACAGGAAATACTGTTTTTCTGAGTGATCTAATTCTCTTTTTTTATTCTTACAGTCAATAAGGACCAATTTCTATTAATTCTGTTATTTTTTTATTTTACCTTTATAATGGATTGCAACTCTAAGAAGATAATTATTAAAATGGCTAATCTCATCATATCAGAGTTTTGAATTAGATTGCAATAATTAAATGTATTGTTTCGAATTCATCAAAACTTTGCAACAATAAATGTTTAACTCATCATTTTATGCTTAGAATAAGTAGATATTGATGGTGCCATCTCTGACAATGATAATCAAAAGTATTAAATTACAAAAATTAATTAGAATTCAAAATTTTGGTTAAAAATACAGCGATTTCCTTGAACAACGATTTTTTTGACTTAACAAGTTACAAAAATAATCTATTGATTTTTCAGTGAATCTAATGATTATTATATATGCCAAAGAAAATTGTAAATATTTAATTTTTGATAGAGAAATGGATTTAAAAAACTTTTCCCCAAATTAATTCTGTGTTATTATTTTGTAGAATATTAAAAAATATTATACAATTCTGTGGTTCTAAACAATAATTGAATTATTATTTAACAATTCTAAGCATTTTATAAAATTGTCTTAGATTTCTTAATTATGCAGCTTAATAGACTTTTGTTTTATTTTTATTTATCATCCCTTTACGTAGTGCAATTTTTCTAAAAATNTTAATGCAAGTTTTGCTGATTAATTTTTAGAGTCAATTTTGTTAGGTTGCACTTTTGACGCTTTTAACTATTTTTTTCTTATGGGTATGTAAAAATAATTTATTAGAGTTGTATTACACCAAAGTAAATAATTGATCTTAGAAGGGAACATTCTAAGTTCATAAGTCATATTGTGATGATACTTTATTAAATTCATAAATTTATCCTATTTTAGGCAAATTCTTCATTGAGTGATTAAAAATAATGGATTTTAGCAAATAGTTGGGACATCCTTTTCAAAGTTATCCTGTATCTCTCTTCTAAACCATAAAAGTCCTTAAGGACTTAACTCTCTATCTATGTATAGGGATTATGTTAACTCTTTTTGCAATCGCTATATCTTATACGATTAACACGACAAATAATAAAAAACCAAGGGATTTGAAAATATATCGACATCATGGTTTGATTGTTATAAAATAGATTTTATTCCTCTTTACTTTAATTAAAGCATAAGATAACTCAATTGTTTAATGTATCTAGGACAAATTATTATGGCCAAACTGTTCAAAGATAATATTGATAAAATTGTAATATTCTGGTTTGAAGTGCCAATTATTATTTATACATTATCAAGAGTCTCTTTTCATCTTGTCTTTGATAAACATCTTACAAATAATTAATAAATCCTGATAGGGTTTGCTCAGCTAATGACATTAAGTTTTGGATTACTATCGCCATTAATTAAATATGTTTACATTATTATAGAAAAGGTCAAAAGAGCAATAATAATGAAGTGTAAGAAATACCTTGCTTCAAAATAATAGAAAAGAGCACAGGAAATACTGTTTTTCTGAGTGATCTAATTCTCTTTTTTTATTCTTACAGTCAATAAGGACCAATTTCTATTAATTCTGTTATTTTTTTATTTTACCTTTATAATGGATTGCAACTCTAAGAAGATAATTATTAAAATGGCTAATCTCATCATATCAGAGTTTTGAATTAGATTGCAATAATTAAATGTATTGTTTCGAATTCATCAAAACTTTGCAACAATAAATGTTTAACTCATCATTTTATGCTTAGAATAAGTAGATATTGATGGTGCCATCTCTGACAATGATAATCAAAAGTATTAAATTACAAAAATTAATTAGAATTCAAAATTTTGGTTAAAAATACAGCGATTTCCTTGAACAACGATTTTTTTGACTTAACAAGTTACAAAAATAATCTATTGATTTTTCAGTGAATCTAATGATTATTATATATGCCAAAGAAAATTGTAAATATTTAATTTTTGATAGAGAAATGGATTTAAAAAACTTTTCCCCAAATTAATTCTGTGTTATTATTTTGTAGAATATTAAAAAATATTATACAATTCTGTGGTTCTAAACAATAATTGAATTATTATTTAACAATTCTAAGCATTTTATAAAATTGTCTTAGATTTCTTAATTATGCAGCTTAATAGACTTTTGTTTTATTTTTATTTATCATCCCTTTACGTAGTGCAATTTTTCTAAAAATATTGAACTATTTTAAAGTCAAATTGTCTAATGATTTCTTTTCAAATGTTTCTAAAGTTGCTCAAGTAACATTAGCAGGGCCTACAATCAGGTTTTTAAAACTCAACTTTTAGAGAGTTTTTGCCTCAGTAATAATGCTGAGGATATTACTGGAAAGAGGAAATGGGTGACTCCTTTTTAAAAGGTTTAAGAAAGAATGTCAATAGACTTTTAGAATGTTGGATAGATAAGGAGCAAAGAGCTTATGGAACGAACAAATATATCTTATGTTTTCTGGAAAAATTAGTAACGAAGTCCACTGACAATAAAATATGGTGATATTAGGAGCACTTTTCATAATAAGTAATAAAATGAATTATTTTATTTTTCAAAAAAGTATTTAATTATGGCCACAATTTATCAAAAAGGCAGTCATAATATAAAAGACAGGTTGTTTGCAGGTACTTAAGAAATCAGAGTAATGAGGTTAATAATTTATTGAATAAACACTTATGATCTTAACTCTCTTATTACAATCTTACAATTCAACATCCTCCTCCGAGCAACTGGGCTCGACCGGATTGTTAGGAGCTTCCATTCGAAATCTCACTCTCTTCCTGAATTCACCAATTCTCTCGATGCCATCGTGTCCATTCTAGGTCACTCTCAGCCCCTC